TTAATACATGATAATGAGAATGTATCATCTTCTATCACTACAAATGTTGTATACAACGAAGTTTTTCAATTGCTTTGTTAATGGGTAAGTACACGACAACATAAATGTTTTTGTTTATAAATTATTTACATATTTGGTGTCTGATTTTTGCACAAATTATCATGCAGACTAATGAGTTGAAAACATCAATGGAAAGCAGGTTGCTTCATATCTAAAGTTCAAATACGATATTGTTATCATTAATGTTATCGATGGAAAGCAAATTAATTTGATACACTAATTTTTTTTCCTAATTGATTGAACTTTGTTTAAATCATTTTAATATTTTAAATTTGAATAATATATACGAATGATCTATTACAATTCAAAGTTAGTTCTATATTATATGAAATTCGGACAGGACCCATATGATACCACGGATTTTTTAATAGTTGTATATCTAAAATCAAAACCATTGAACGAGCCCGCTCTCCTTAAAACAAAATTACAAAAACGCCTAAGGACATATGAAAACAAAACCACTGCTCTTATTCCATCTGAGTTGTGCACAGACCCGTCGCCATCTTACACATACTCCAATCCTCCGCTTTGCGTGCAGATCCGCGGCGACGCCGCCACGCTCATTGCAATTGTTTGAGTTAAGAAGGTATTCGCAATGTATATCGTAGGTTCTCGATGGTACTGTACTAATTCCTTCTGCTTTACACACAGATCCGCAGCCACCTTATATGGACTCCAATCCTTCCGCTTTGCCTGCATATCCGCGGCGACGCCGCCATGCTCACCGCATTTGTTTGAGTTAAGAAGGTATTCACAATGTATATCGTAAGTTCTCGATGGTACCGTACTAATTCATTCTGCTTTACGCACAGATCCACAACCATCTTACACGAACTCCAATCCTTGCGCTTTGCGTGCAGATCCGCGGTGACGCCGCTAGGCTCACCGCATTTGTTTGAGTTAAGAAGGTATTCACAATGTATATTGTAAGTTCTCGATGGTACTGTACTAATTCCTTCTGCTTTACGCACAGATCCGCAACCACCTTATATGGACTTCAATCCTTCCGCTTTGTGTGCAGATCCGCCATGACGCCGCTAAAATCGCTGCTCTTGTTTGTCTGAGTTAAGCTCTATTTCCTTGTTTCATACATAATTCATTTATCGATGTTAATGATAACATTCCTACGCCCTTTTTCATGTAAAAAATGACGATGTTAATTTGTGATATTGAAAATATAGGAATTAAATTGCTTTCAAGTCTCCGAAAGTAATTGTCAAAATTGTTTGCGGAATATGTTTTGGCCATGATTGATGCACAGGTTGCAAAAAGTGCTGTAAAATTGGCTGATTATGAATGGTGAGTTAGTTGAAGTATCTGAAATGGATTTAACGTTTTAGTTGCGTTATACATTAGAATCTCCTTTTGAATTTACTACTTGGAAGGACCCACAATGATTCTTTTGGAGGATAAATGACAGTCTCTTAAAACGTGAGGGGCTCAATAAAGTAGCCAAGTATAAAGAGATTAGTTCCCGTCTCTTTAGGCTAAGACCTGGGATACTACAACGACTCCTTTGGAGGATAAATGATAGTTTGGAATGTGAGGGGGGCTCAATAAAGTAGCCAAGAATAGAGAGATTAGCTCCTGTCTCTCTAGGCTAAGACGTGAGATTGTAATTATTTTAGAAACCAGAGTAAAACAACATAAAACTGATAAATGTAGAAGGATTCTGGGTGGAAACTGGTCTATGATAGATAACTATAGTAAACATGATAATGACAAGATCTGGATTCTTTGGGAAGGTAACAAAGTAGAGATGAGGGAAGTTAATGAAACTGATCAATTGATTCACTGTGGGGTGTATAGTGTGGAGGGTCTATCCATAAATTGGCTCACTGCAATTTATGCATCTAACAAGCTAGAAAAGAGGAAGATTCTTTGGAAAGACCTTGAGAACATAGGGCAGAACTGGAGCATTACGGGTGATTTTAATAATGTTCCAAGTACTCAAGATAGAGTTGGAGGGAAATCTGTCCAAGAAGCTGAGTTCATTGATTTGAGTAGCATGATGGAGAACACGCGGCTTTTTGAAGTTGAGAGTAAGGGTGATTGATATACCTAGTCTAGTAAACAAAATGAAGGAATCATCTAGAATTGATAGTCTTTGGAAACATGGAGTGGCTTCAACAAAACATTGATAAGACAATTCACGTCCTTGAGCCTGGAATATCAGATCATACACTTTTGTGTCTGAAAGGGGAAGAGGAGAGCAAGAGACATCACACAAAAATTTCCAATTTCTCAACATACTGAGGTGGAAGGTTATACCTCTGAGGTTGGTAATGGTTGGGGACAAACTGCAACTGGAGAGCCCATGAAGGCATGAATGTTTTGTGGACAAAATTAATGAGACTGCAGCCCACCTTGAGGAAACTGAGTAAACCACTAGTTGGCATAAAAAATCAAATTGAGAAAGCAAGAAATGATTTAACCCAGGCACATAACTTGTTGATCCAAGACAGAATGAATACTCAACTGATTATGCAGGTGAAAAGTTGCATTGATGAACTGGTCAAATTAAATGACATTGAGGAGCAGGTTCTAAGGCAGAGGGCTAAGATAGAGTGGATCAGATTGGGGGATGTGAATAACTAATATTTCTATGCAGCCATAAAGAGCAAGCAAAAAGGAACCAATATGAGAAATTTGTGTAAAGCAGATGGGACTGCACTTACCACTAAAGAAAACATTGATGGAGAGGTTTTGGATTTTTATAGGAAATTGATGGGCGCTGCTGAGCAAACCTTGGAGGGTATTGACATTGTTGCAATGAGGGGAAGTAAACAATTTACTATGGACCAAAGGTTAATGTTGGTTAGCCCTGTTAGTGTGCAGGAGGTTGAAAATGCCCTATAAAGTATTGGAGATCTCAAATCCCCTGGTGTGGAAGGCTTTGGTTCAAAGTTCTTTAAGAAGTCTTTGAGCATTGTAAAGCAATATGTCATTGCTGTTGTGATGGATTTCTTTAGCAGAAGTAAACTGAAGAAGAAATTTAATAACACTCTTGTCACTTTGGTTCCTAAACATTTTGAGGCAAAGACTATAAGAGACTATATGCCTATCTCATGTTGCACCACTGTGTATAAAATCATCTCAAAGGTGCTGGCTACAAGAATGAGCAAAGTGTTGAGTAGCATCATCAGTAGGAGTCAAGCAACTTTTGTGCCTGGCCAAAAAATTCATGATACAATGGATTAAAGGCTATAGTAGGAAGGATGGGATGTCTAGGTGTATGATGCAAATGGATATCTGGAAGACATATGATACAATGGATTGACATGCTTTGAAGACAATTATGAAGGAAATTGGGTTCCCTAGACAATTCGTTGTGTGGGTGATGATTGTTGTTTCTACTGTAACATATAGGTTCAATATCAATGGAGTGTACACAAAAGATATGGAAACAAAAAGATGGCTTAGGCAAGGGGACCCCATCTACCCTATGCTCTTTGTTATAGTAATGGAGTATTTGTACAGGAAGTTGAAAGATCTGAAGGATATTCCAGATTTCAATTACCATGGGAAGTGTGAGAAGCTGCACATTATAGATGTGAGTTTTGCAGATGGCCTGCTTTTATTTACTAGGGGTGATATTGTATCTGTGCAGCTGATTATGGACAGGTTCCATGCTTTCTCTAAGTCCATTGGGCTTTATGTTAACCCTAGTAAGTGCAAGGTCTTGCAAGGTCTACTTTGGTGGCATGGAGTGGGTAATACTAAGCAGCAGATTGAAGAGATTACAGGTTTTGCTGAAGGCCCTTTACCCTTTAGATATTTAGGGATTCCTCTGTCCAACAAGAAGCTTAATAATAGTCAGTGCACTAGTCTGGTGGAGAAAAATTGGTGCTAGGATCAAACATTTGAGTATTGGAGTGCTCATTTACTGAGCTACTCGGGGAGGATCCAGCTTATCAAAAGTGTATCTTTGGTACCTACCACAAACTACTGGCTTAAATGCATCCCTCTGCCTAGAGGGGTGACCCATATAATTGTAGCCATGTCCTGAACTTTCTTGTGGACTGGTAAGGTCAGTAGCACAAAAAAGGCGCCTGTTGCTTGGAGGAAGCTTTGTGTTCCAAAGAAACAAGGGGGCTGAATGTGATATGTATGACACAATGGAATCATGCTTTGTATGATCAAATTGCTGTGGAATTTGTGCGACATAAAATCATAGATGCGGGAGCATATTGCTCAAATGCTGATGAGGTGATGAGGTGATGAGGTAACTCGTTTGTAGGTCAAATAGGTTTTTTTGGGTGCTGCTAGCTGGACCCCAATGTATTAACTGTTTTTAAGGTATATATAAAAAAGTTTGAAATTCTAAATTTTCATAAATTACATACAAATTGATTCTTCTAAAATAATATTCAAAATTTAGCAAAAAATTAATTTTAATATTTTATCAAATAAAAGTTAAAAATAAATGATTTAGTTGAATTATTAATTTTTTTTATAATAGTTTAAAATAAAAAATTTGAAAATCTTCTAAAATTTAATGAATTACAAATTGATTGTTAAATTAACAAAATTTAGCAAAATTGATTCTTCTCGGGTAAAATTTATTTGTAGGATTATGTAAAATTTTAAAAGAAATGGGTTATAAAAATTATACACCATATATTCCATTAACATTAAATCAAACTGAATTTTTAAATTATAATATATTCCCATTTACACATTAATAAACTCAAATTTTAAACTTCTTAAATTTTTTAACATTTTAATTAGAAAAATAATTATTAACGCGAAATGTTATATATCGCGGGAACGATCTTTAGCTACGCCCCAAACCCCCAAAACCGAAATTTAGTGCGCGAGTGAGCAGGCAATTTTCTTATGAGAAAACCGAACGATCGGCGAGGGAGATCGATAATTTTCCGCAGAAAACCGAAAGATCGGCGAGGGAGATTGAATTGATTGTCTTCAGCTACGCGGACATGGATAAGCGAGCCGTGGATAATTTGAATAAACATGGTGAAGGTACCAGCAAAAAACCGCGGATTGATGCAGATGTTGGGGAGCCATTCCCTATAATTATCAAGAAACCTTTAGTATGTATCTTTCATATCCGTTTTCTATTCTATAATTTCAGCTTTAAAACAAGCCCTAAATCCCCTTTTCTTGACATTTGACGTATCGATAATTTCTTGATATTGATGTTTAGCTGTTAGTAAAATACTGAGTATGCAATATATGATTCTGGCCATGTTCTTGTCATTCGGCAAAATCTTTAGTAATATTTGATTCCGGTGATCAAAATCTTCTGTTTACATTGTATTTCTGTGTGCTAATATTGTATAATTGTAGCTGTTACTAATCTCTCATTAACTGTTAATTAAAATACTGATTATGTGTATTTTCAACAATTTTGCTAGGATGAGGGCTTGGCCGACTTGACCAAGTGTTTCAAGTCTACTGATTTTGTTACGAGGTTCAAAGCTGTTTCCAAGTTAAAAAGGCTCTTTTCTAATGGTAAACTTTCATATATTTGATTTCTTAGCACATTAATAATTAAAAACTGTTATAACATTCAGTATTATTGATAGGACATATATTCCATTACACTGAAGCACTTCAAAATGGTGTAGTACCATATTTGGTCAAGTTTATCACACGTGATGATCTAGGAGTTCAGGTATCTTATTATTTATGGTGAACATTCCATAAGAATTTACAATTTTCCTGAGCTTGGATTTTATTGTGAACATTCATCATGAACCTTCTATTTTTGCCTTTTATTGTCTGCAGCTGCTCTCTGCATCTCTTATTGCGGATATGACTTTGTTTCCAAAAGCGGTCGATGTTTTGATAGATAATGGTGCTGTGGAGCAGTTGTCAGTGCTTCTTAATTCTTCTAAAGACTCTGTAATGCAAGAGGAGGTATTTTATACTTTTTATATGAAGATATTTTAAATTATGCATTTGTTTGATATTTCTCAATTTTTTTGGTTATATGCTATTAACAACTGTGTTCCCCATTTTTTTATATACCAGATAATCCGCTCTTTGGGTAACATGGCATCAGTCTCCCAGGAAAGCTACAACAAGGTTACGAAAACGGCCTTATGTTTGTTAGTGCATATTTATGCGAAGAGTGAATCAACCCCTGTTTCTGTTCTTAACATGTTAGAATGGACCCTTAGTATCATCAAGAGGGGGTTTGGTGCCGATGAGGTTTGAAAATAGTTTTATTATATGTATTTTGTTTGCAATGGTACCGTGTCCTTTTTATAATTTAATGGATTAGTTTCTTAACAGATAGAGATAGATGACCTATCTAGCATATTGTCTTCGATCAAAGAAATGCTTTCCAAGGAGAATGAGACATATATCCTCTTTGCTTGCGATAGTTTATCAATCATTACATGTCTGAGCATCATTGATGTAAGTTATTTCTGATTTGCTTGATGAGTAATTTAATTTACATTCCTTATTTTCTGAGGTTGGTTTCAACGTTTTAATTAATTAAAGTTTTTTAATCAAAAAATTATTGAAGAAAACATAGTCGAGTCAATTGTAAGTTTATCAAAGATCCCAGATGAAAATACCACCGATTGCATTCAACATAAGGTGTACGAAAGCAAAGTTAAGAAAGACCAGATTAGGTATCATTTGATTTATTTTATATTATGATGTACTAATTTTGGAGCATTAATTGGAGAACACTTATTATTATGTTTTATGTTTTCCGACATAAATGACACTTATTGAACAAGGTATCATTAAAAGCTCAAACTTCCATTAAAATGTTGAATGCTATACTGTTGGCTGGGGAGACGGAAGGACACGAACATCCATCTTCACATCTTAATCCATTCTCCAAAAATGTTAAAGATTTTGTAAGGACTGATTTGCGAGGCTTAGGGAATGTGACAAATAATAATGCATATTACAAAGTCATTGAAATTTTGGAAAAAAATTAATCCAGCTGCATATTTGACTTAGGTAAATTTTTATTTTTATCTAAAGCCATTTACCACGTACCTTCTGGTTTAAATACACTTAACATGCATCCTCATATGTTGCCAAACACCTAAACATCAAAGATAATAAACACAGTCAACATGGCTTTAGATAAAAATAAAAATTTACCTAAGCCAATGACTTTGTAATATGCATTATTCTTTGTCACATTCCCTCAGCTTCGCATATCAGTCCTTACAAAATCTTTAACATTTTTGGAGAATGGATTAAGATGTGAAGATGGATGTTCTTGTCCTTCCGTCTCCCCAGCCAACAGTATAGCATTCAACATTTTAATGTTGCAATCATTTACATATCGATTGGAGTTCTTTAAGTTTGAGCTTTTAAGGATACCTTGTTCAATAAGTACCCTGTATGTCAGAAAACATAAAACATAACAATAAGTGTTCTCCAATTAATGCTCCAAAATTAGTACAAAATAAATCAAATGATACCTAATCTGGTCTTTCTTAGCTTTGCTAGAAATCAGGACAAGGTTTTCGTATACCTTATGTTGAATGCAATCTGTGTTATTTTCATTTGGGATCTTTGATAAACTTACAATTGACTCGACTATGTTTTCTTCAATAATTTTCTGATTAAAAAACTTTAATTAATTAAAACGTTGAAACCAACCTCAGAAAATAAGGAACGTAAATTAAATTACTCATCAAGCAAATTAGAAATAACTTACATCAATGGTGCTCGAACATGTAATGATTGATAAACTATCGCAAGCAAAGAGGATATATGCCTCATTCTCCTTGGAAAGCATTTCTTTGATCGAAGACAATATGCTAGATAGGTCATCTATCTCTATCTGTTAAGAAACTAATCCATTAAATTATAAAAAGGACACGGTACCATTGCAAACAAAATACATATAATAAAACTATTTTCAAACCTCATCGTCACCAAACCCCCCCTCTTGATGATACTAAGGGTCAATTCTAACATGTTAAGAATATATATATATATATATATATATATATATATATATATATATATATATATATATATATATATATATATATATATATATATATATATATATATATATATATATATATATATATATATATATATATATATATATATATATATATATATATATATATATATATATATATATATATATATATATATATATATATATATATATATATATATATATATATATATATATATTAGATTATTTTTATATATATTAGATTATTTATATGTTTAATTAAATATGTAGAATTTGTGTTAAATTTACTCTCTGAATATTTGTTAAATCATCTTGATAATATTGTGTTTTCACACATTCATTCGTGCCAACCTTATGGCCAAATAATCCACCATATACACCTTATCTGTTTTTCTTTAACAATTTTCGATTTCAAAATTTGCATGAGCATTGTATTAGAATTATTTCTCAAAAAAAATAATTTTACCCGTAAATTAATGCTTAGCATGGAGGAAATTTCAACAACGATCTGATCAGAGGCATAACACTTCAGGACACTCCTAACTCGAGGCAACTCATCAAAAGACTCTACTAATCAGAGGCAAATCCTAACGATCATATGGAGACCATATGAAGATCACATTGACCTGGAGCAATCATTCCAGAAATTGGTCAATATGGGTCACATGTAGCATCCCGATTTTAATAGTTAATTATTATTATTTATTATATTATGTGAAAATTAATTTAATTGGATGATTTAAATGAATATTTGAATTATTTGAATATGTGTGTTATTTGAATAATTGAATTTTATGAGTAGAAATGTGATTATTTGGTATTGGGCCTAATTATGAGAATATAAGTAATAAGAAGACGTTAAGTGTTAAGCCCAATTAGAGGTTACTAGTTAGTAAAGGGTTAGAGGAAAACATAATTAGAATTGTCATTTGGAGAAAAAGAAAGAAAAGAAGAGAAGAGAAGAGAAGAGAAGAGGAGAAGAAGAGAAGAGAAGAAGAAATCCTAGGGAGATAAATCTTCAAGAGGTAAGGGGGAGAATCTTCATTATTATGCATTTGTATGTTGTTGGGTAGTGATTAAGAAACATGCTATAGGATTGAGTATCTCTATTTCTAGGTTTTGAAGTCTCAAATTGAAGTTGTAATTTGAGGATTTTGATGATTAAAACTAGATTTGATGATATGGATAGGTTCCATATAGTGTATACATGTTAGATGATGTTTAAATGATGATTAATAAGCATTAAAACTGATTTTGGGATGTATTTTAGTGACTGGTGCAGTGCTGTTCGCACCAGATTTTTCTGCATAACGCGAAGGCCGTTGGGCGCGCGGGGGGTCGCTGAGCGCGCCTTGCTGTATGCAGAAAAATGAGTTTCTTGATTAATGCATGTTTGGCTTAGGGATTTGCTTGCTTATGATTTATCATTAATTTATATGATTTCTAATAATTGTATTGATGAGTTTTGGATCATGTTTGGATGCGATTTCGTTGATTACATGCTACTTGAATTAGTGTATGTAGGTTATGCTTTGGATGGATTGTTGAGAATAACATGTGATAGCTTGTATGTTATATGTTATTGGTGATGCATGATAATTGGAAATACTTGTGTATTGCTTGTTGTTGTTGGAAACATGATTGTTTGTGCAAGATGGTGGATAATTCAAATGTGTTGGATTATTGTGGTATGCTTGATAATTAAGGTTTATGGATGATCTTAATTGCATATGTGTTGAGTAACTTGTATATGCATTCATGGGAAGATGGAACTCCGGGTATTGGCTTGATCCTTGAATAGAAATAGTAGCGGTGAAACTTTGGGTTCACAATGTGCTTGATCCTATATGGAAATAGAAGCGGTGGACTATTATGTTCATATGGTGGCTTTGGTCTTGTCTGGATCGGAAGCGTGACTTAGATTCTAAGGGTCTGTTTGGTTCAACAGATGGGAGGGGAGGAGAGAGAATCTAATGGAGAGGAGGGGAAGGGAGGGGAAGGGAGGGGAGAGAATTTAACTAAATATATGTTTGGATCAAATAAGGGGATGAGAAGGGAGGGGATCAATTTTTAACAACATGTATGTTTGCTTCACAAGGGGAGGGGAGGGGTTTTACAATTAAATTATATTTTTATCCTTATAAATATTGTCATTTGTACTTAGTAAACATAATTCTAAATAAAAATAGTTTTGACATTCATAGACATGACAATAAACATCAACGCAAATTAGTTGGACTATATCTCTTGGACGCAAATCAAACTATTTTGTTAATAACAATTCTCCGATCTTGATGATCCATCTAACCCAATAGAACAATTTGTATACTAAAAATAAGTAACATAACGTTAAAATGTTAAAAACGTTAAACAAATAATATTAAATTGTGTTAAATAAGTTTTTGGTCCCTATAAATATTGCAGTTTCATTTTTAGTCCCTCCTAGATTTTGGCAACGGTTTTAGTTGGATTTGACAACGTTTTTTTTTGTAAAAACCGTTGCCTAAAGGCAGGGAGGGACTAAAAATAAAAACTGCAATATTTATAGGGATTAAAAATTTATTTAACCCTATTAAATTTAAAACTTTTATTTATAACATATACATACTGTCATACCCCAAAATTTACCCTCAATCTTAGTTGGCTCATGTCTCATCATCAGCATGCACATGCATTGGTATCATTTGTTATATGGTTTGAGGTGGCTCCCAGTGGTTCTTTTATAAGCTATAGAAGATGTTTGTGTTTTCAACCAATCCAAGAGATTTGAGAGAGGCAAAGGTTTGGCAGTGAATGTTAGGTTCTCTTACCCATTAGTTCTCATGCGTGCATTTTGATTATTGAAATGTGTGACTTTTTCCTTTAAAAAAATTCTAGAAGCATTGTCATCTCGGGATTGTTGATCATTGGATTTGTGACGTCTTTCTTGACATAATCTCTGAAGTGTTATCATGAGTTTTATCTCAATTCACTTTCAATCATCTACATAAGATCATTGGACTCAAGATTCTTATGGTCACTTCTATCTCCACATTTCAAGGCTTATTTCTTCTTCGGATGATTTAAGGTATTGATATTTCATGGATTTTTGAGGCCATAGCGCAAGTTATGATGAATGGATTCATGTATGGTTGCTTCTCCTTGCAATGTGTCACAAATTTCGTTGTCTATAAGTTTGTTTCAAGAATTGAAAAGAAATCGTGCTTAAAGAGTTACGGTTTCTATTGGAATATTATAGGTCATTTTTTTGCCTCTAATTTTGATTTACACCATAAGTTTTTAAGGAGATGATTTCATGAGAAGTCTTCATTGGTCAAGAATTATATTGAAAAGTAGTGGACTATGAGATGTTTTTTTAGATTTCGTAGATAAGCGTTGATTTGGAATTCAAAAGGTGGAAATAAATTATTTTGCTTTCATGAGTTCACGAGGATCTTAAATTCCACGAAGACTTTTGCTTTTTTTTTAAGTAAGAAAATCTCATTCAATTCATGTTTTTATTCAAAGTTCCAAGAATTTGAATTCAAGGCATGTATCATCATTCATTCATCATTCAAAGTTGCAGAAAATATTCAAGCTACACTTTTTCTTCACAAGGGATGCAAGGTTCTTTACAAATCTCCAATTTCACCATTCATGTTACAAGAACAATTTAAAGAAAGCTTCATAACTAGATTCCATCTACATTATCATGCTACAAAAAGAGAGTGCAAGATTTCTTTGGGGCTAATTTCAAGTACTTCATTCAAGTTTAAAATGATTTCTAACAAGGTTAAAAAAAGGGGGAAGTTTGAAGTTTAAATTACAAGTTTATACAATAATTTACAGAATTCCTAAACCTAAGCTATTTTATGAGGTCTTCTTGGCTGGAATTTCAATTCTTCGTATCTTGTTCCATAGCCATGGTTTCCTTGCATTCTCCATCTTCTCAAGGCCTCTTTCTCCAAGCTTCATGCTAGGCCCGAATTCCTCTTTTTCCTCCACGCTCACCACCATTGTTGCAACACATGAAAACAAGAAGGGAAGAATTGGTTAGCAAGAAACATGAACATACACAAGATTATTCTGTCAAAGGGACTGTTTTTGTTGTTAACTCATCATTATGGGCCATGGCAAGAATCAGGACATAGGGAGGATTTTTCAAATCATGTTCAAGCAACAAATGAAACCTTATACAATCGAAATTACATCTCAAGTCACTAGCCAAAGGCTCCTATTGCAAATCATAAAGTAAAAATTAGTTCACAAAAAGGAGGGTGCAGAAATACAAACTCAAGATTAGCATCATGGTTCAAGTACAAGATCAGAATATGGTAATTCCAGCCCAACATAATAGAAAATGTATGACAGTTCCAGCCCATACAAGTTTTTTTTGAAGAGCAAAGCAACAAGCAACATAAGTGAAATTTCAGCCTAGTACCAACATGAATACATCACAATACAAAAAACAAAGCTAACATATCAGATTTCATAACTAATATGTCAGAAAGCCAAAATACCAAAGCCCAATATCAGAAATGATTTGAAGCCCAAAATGTAATTAGAATTTCGTAAGGCCTTGTTCCTAAAA